AAAAAAGAGGAGCTGATGCCAGGGGCTTAGGTGGAGAGCAAATGTTTTGAGAATGATGAGGGCAATGAATGTACAAATATGCTTTACACGATTGATGTATGTATGGATTGTGATAAGAGTTGTATGAGCCCCTAATAAAATGATTAAAAAAATAAAATAAAATAAATTGTTGTAGATGCATATGTAGTCATTGGTGTATGTTTTTCTGCGTATATCCTCAACAACAACAACAACAAAATTAAAATGACATAGATAGTTAAGTGAGCTTCAGAAAATTTGTGGGAAATGGAATTAAAAGATAATGGACAGACCCACACAAAACCTGGAGCTTCAGGTTTGCATTTTGAGGAAACAGTTTGCCTAGATTGGAAAAATCTATGCCCATCCGAAAAGATCCTCTTCCAGGGCTGAAAGTTAAAGGGAGTCAGTGAGCAGACCAATATGCTCGCAGTGTGACCACCTGGATCCCTCTGTGGAGTAGAAGCGGGGGACAGGCAGCAGTGAAGAGATGGGCTGAGCTTGGAGATATTCGGTTGATGCCTATTGACCTGGTCCATGGGGCCAAGAGCTAAGAGAGGAGAGGAAGGGCTGACTAGTGTGAAGTTCAAAGAGTTGTTGGATTTCAAGCCAATGGGCACGCCCCAGCCCCAGAGGGCTAGGACGGATGCGAGTATGTGAGGGGGCCAGATTGTATAAAGTACAGAGGGACATGTATGAACTCCCAAGCTTGCTACTGGTACCGATTTGTCCTAGCATGGAATGACGGCTAGAACTGAGCTGACCAGTACGCAACCAAATGAAGAGAACGGTATTTGAGACTTTGAACCCGTGCAAACTGCTGAAATGTGTGCTTTGAGCTGAACTTCACTTGAGGGATGTAGATGGCTGACGTTCCAACTGGAATGAAGATTATCCAAGATACGCTTTCTCCTCAGAGTAGTAGGTTGCTAGGAATGGGCAACTTAGAAATTGGATATCCAAAACTGGAAGTGATAAGTGCCTGAAGTGAGTACTAGCTTACAAGCGTCCAGAAGTGTGCTGTGTGGCTCAAATCAGTGGAACAAGGGAGACTCTCCACTGAATAGCCCTCTCATTTCCCGATTGGTTTGGGAGAGAGAGGGTGGTCGAATATATCGATCAGGGATTAGTCAGGTATGACGGTGACAGAGTTTATCATGATTGTAAAAATTTTAATTGTAGAAAATGTAACTAAATGAAGCAGGAAGTTAATTCTTCAAGTATGAATGGGTTAGTGGCCACAAGAACCCAGGGATGGTCAATTAACATGGCCCTTCTAATCATAATTCTTTATGTGACCTATGATAATTCTGGCTCTATGCCTGTGGCTATAATTCCATTTTGGAGGGAGTTCTCCATTACGCTAATGGTCAGGATTAAGGTGGGATTAACCTCTCATCTAGTTGAGGGTATGAACCAAGCCACACCCTTTGTTTCCTTGGGGGTCTGGTTTGCTGAAAGACAAAAGCCGCACCTTCAAGCCTTTCCTCTGTGTACACAAGTTTGGGAAGCACTACACAGCATCTTAGCATCTTAACCATTGGAGATGCGCATTTACCTAGCAATGCCTCTGGAAAGGTGTGTGTGTGTGTGTGTGTGTGTGTGTGTGTGTGAAGATCAAGGGCTTAGTTTGGATTCAGCGGTTACAGAGGCCATTTAACCACAGAGCTCATCTTTAAGGTCAACCAAGGCCTCAAAGAGCTTAGTTTGGGAAGTGATAAATGATTGCACTCTTTGGGCTATCGGATGTTTCGTGAAGGGGGTTGGATGCCAGCCTTCTGAACAAATGGACATTTTTTTTCTCCTCCCAAATGCTTTCCTGATACAAAAATGGTCATTTTTTAACTACTCGGCAGGCATTAAGAAAAAACCCCATGAAATTTTATCTGTAAAATTTGCAAAATAATTTTGGCAGTCTTTAATGGATTATTATTATTATTGAATGCCAGTGACGTTACTTGGTCTTAGACCCTATCTGGAGCTAGGACTCCTCCTCCCTTCCCTACCTGAAACCAGCCCATGACACACAAGACAGCGGGTAGGAACCCTGATGGCACTGCTGAGAAAATGCTAGACTGCTAACTGCGAGGTGGGTGGTTCAAACCTACCCGGCACTTCTCTAAAGAAAGATAAAGACATGAAGATTTACAGCCACAGGCGTTGCTGTGAGTCGGAATCAACTCAATGGCAGGGGGTTTGTGTTCAAGAGTCTTCAGCAGTGAACTTGAGTTTGAGGCTATCTTTGCAGACTCTCCTCAGGTTAGAGTATGTAGTTTAGCGCCTGTAACGCCTGTGCGATGCAGCTCTCTCTTCATCTCGCCCCGCCCCCTCCGTCCCCTCAGTGCGGCCCACCTGAATAGGAATGCTGGGTGTCCACACTGGACTGTTCCGAGGTCCCCCCGAGGGCACAGATCCCCTCCTTCTTGTTGATGGCCTTCCTAAAGGTCTTGGCCACCTCCGTGCTCTTTAGCCCACGAACAATCTGCAGACACAGAACATGCCCTCAGTCTGTGATCAGGAGACCACGAAGGAGAGTCTGAACTGGGAAGGCGACCAGACGTAGTCGGGGGAATGGTTTGGTTCCTGAATATTGTTTTCAAACTCAACACACGTTTCGTACTCACCTTGATAAACTCATCAAAGCTGATCCTCCCATCTCTGTCCAGGTCTCCGGTAGCCATCAGGTTTTCTGTAATTTCTCGCACTTTGTACCCAGGCAGAGGCAAGCAGGCAGCCTTGAACAAATCATTCAACTCACTGCAGCTGATATACCCATTGCCATCGGTATCTGCGATGCAAAGGACACACTAAGGGTTCTGAGAGCCAAACTGGAGAACCGGGATGGGGGGTCAGGACAGCGGGGGCAATTATACAGCCAGCGTGGCTTGGCCCCACAAGAGAGTCAGGATGTGAGCATTAGCATGAGCTCCAACATCCAGACAAAAGTGAGTCATCTTTGATCATTTTAAAAGAGCTTTGGGCCACCAAACCTGAAGAAACTACCCTGTTTCCCTGAAAATAAGACAGTGTCTTATATTAATTTTTGCTCCCAAAGATGCGCTAGGTCTAATTTTCAGGGGATGTCTTATTTTTTCATGAAGAAGAATACGGTACATGTTTATTGTTTTATTAAAAGAGACCTCACATTTCCTGTCTGCTCCGGCTGCGCTGCGGCCAACAGTAAGCTGCATGGCGGTGCCCGCTGCTACAGTCCAGAGTTACAGTAGCTTTGGGGGGCCTTATTTTCAGGGAGGTCTTATTTTCAGGGGGATACCTTATATTTCAGTGAGAGGCAAAACTGTAAGTAGGTCTTATTTTCGGGGCATGTCTTACTTTCGGGGACACGGGGTATTACCAAAAGAGAAGGGACAATAAAACATAGTTTTAGAGATACGAAGTAAGAGACAGGATGGAACAGTAGAAAAACAAAAGAAAACAAAAAAAAAAGTAGAAGAGAAACGTCATTCCCTGGAAAAACCTAGAGGTGGTAAAGGTCCACATTCCATTATTGCACAAGGAAAGAAGTGATTTCTTTTTATGATCATGTCTTCAGCTCTCAGTTCCCCCAGCACAGCTAACCAACATGGCTGGCTGCCTCTTGCTTTTCTTGCATTCCCATTGCCCGGAGGCTGCGCTGAAGCTGCGGAATTGCTCCGCTCTACTCACCAACTTTGGCAAAGGCTTCGCTGAGCTCCAGCATCTCTTCATCAGACACGGATCCTCTGGCCATTTTTTATTGCTTTAGGCAACAGATCTGCAGGGGGCAGGGAGGAGGTGACAGAAGAAATGACTTAAAGTCCCCTATTAACAGCTTTTCCTGTTCATTAAACCATTAAAAAAACCTTTGCACTCACCATGATAGATAACTCTCTTTCCAAAATAAGAAATAGCCCTTTTCTTACTTTTCCATCTCTTGGTCTTCAAAGATGACCCTCACCCACCACTGCTGGGGTAGACACCCTGCCTCTCACATCAAGAGGCGCAAGCTTACCCCCCACCCTAGAACGGGCTGAATCCTGTGATGGCATTCACCCGCAGAAGTGACAAGGGAAGCGTGGGACTGGCAATTTCTGCTCCTTCCTTCGGGAACACTCCCTCCAGTGACCGACCTGCCATGTTGTGAGATATGCACGCCGCATGAAATTACCAGTGAAGGAGACCTGGGTGTTAGAATTCCCAGCTGACGGACAGCACCACTTGCCAATCACTTGTCTGGGCCGCTGGGGACTTTCTAGCTTGATCCAGCTTCCAAGAGAGCAAACCCCCATCAGTCTCACGTGGAGCGGAGCAATCGCCCACCTGTGCCCAGCCAACCACTAGAGTGATGAGAGGATGATTGCTGTTTCAATTACGTCCTTCTCAGCAACAGACAACCAAGACCCTCCAAATGTGGTTTCAAAAGCTGGGGTTTCTACTCCCTCAAATAATTACAGTCTCAGAAACTCACAGAGGTGGTTCTGCCCTGTCCTGTAAGGTCGCTATGAGTCGGCAACCACTCACAGAAGTGAGTTGGGTTCGAACCTGAAATGCTTATTTAAAAAAAAAAATTGTTTGCCAAGCCAACAGATAGCTGTTAAACTCTTGGAGGGAGTTATCCAAATTGCATCAATGCTGCCCTCTCGTGGTAGGAAAAGGAGGTGGTGCGTGGTAAAGGAGAGGGCAACAGAAGAGGAAGACCCTCAGGGAGATGGACAGCACAAGGGCAGCAAATAAAGGGGCTCAAACTTAACTATTTTGAGGGTGGTTTAGGGCAGGGCAGTGTTTTGTTCTATTCCCTGGAGGATTTCTATGAGATCGAACCACTTAACAACAATAGTTGTAGGACGAGAAGGAACCAAAATTGGGGTATCCATATTCTGTGAGATCCAAGCTAATCTATCCCAGAGAGGTTAAAATAAACACATCCCACTGAAACGTGCTAGCCTCCTGCTGTGGAAAGGACCAGGGAGCCGAGAGTAGGCTATGGGGTATTTGCTAAGCATGATTATGCTTTTTATCGTTTAGTAAAAGTGTTCGCAAGGAGATTACTTATTTCTTAAAATACATGTGTGACAAGATGCTGTTTTAAAACTTTTTGTGGTGAATTGGGTGAAGGTTGATGGAGCAGATCATCAGGTTCACCCTTAACAATTCCTACCGTTGTCTCATCTCGTAGATGGCATCCCCCAACCCACGACCACTCCCCAAATCCTCCCTGTGCTTCCGTTTCCATTCCTCCTCTCTCCTGACCCTTCTGAACTTTGTCCTTGGAGAGATGCTGCCTTCGGATCACCAGTGGTTGGCTCTTCTAAGGTCTGCCTGCTTCACTAGTATCGTTAGACCTGTTGACTGGTTGGTTGAAAATTGAGCTGTAGGGGTGATTCAATTCTAGATCTGAAGGTCTTGGGGGTTCCACCAGTCTCTGTTTGACTTGGTCTCATCTATGATTTTGAGCTTTGTTCCACATTTTTCTCCCACTCTATCCAGCACCTCTATCCAGCACCGTTCAGAGGAACAGGTAGGGTAGCCAGGCACCATTTACATCAGCATTTCCCAAAGGGGCAGATACCTCCCCCTAGAGGTCAAAGACATGATCTAGATGAGGCTTCAAAAGTAGATACTTTCAAAAACTAGATCTTTCTGTCTTCAAACAAACAAACAAACAAACAAACAAAAAACACCCTCACTGTTATCGAACTCATTCTATCCCATAGTGACCCTATAGGACAGGATAGAACTGCCCTTATGGCTTTCTGAGATGATAACTCTTTATAGGAGTAGAAACCCTCATCTTTTCCTCATGCAGTTGGTGGTTTTGAACTGCTGACCTTGCAGTTAGCAGACAAATCTGTTATCACTATGCCACCAGGGCTCCTGCTCTTCTTCTGGTCTCAGAGTTGTGGGAATGGGGCCCATTAGTTCACTGGAATAACTGTTACCATGTGTCGTTTGATTTCCACCACTTTATTCTGAAGAAAGACCTTAGAATGCTGTTAGAGCTCAGTCACTCCCCATTACAGTAGGGTGTAGAACATAGGTTCCCAAACTGATTTGGCCTTTACAGAAAAATAAGTATGCAGCAGCCCTCTGGCAATTAAAAACTTTGGTACTATAGCCTGTAATCCACAATCAAATCTAGGTAGCTGCTTCAGCAGGCCTCCTGGATCATTCTAATCCTTCCTCCAAGAAGGTAGCAGTGACGACGTTGGGAAACTCTGATGTAGAACATTGTCTCTGTGATCTAGGCTTGGTGATCAGTTGGCCTTGGTATCCCTCAAAGACTCTGACCCTGAGCCCCCAGGCCCAGTAACTCATTACCTCTGGGGGTATGGTTATGTCTGAAATATTGTCATAACTTTGCTGTTTTAAATCTCCTTCCATTCAAATGTACCCCTGTCCCCACTACTCTAGTCCTCAGGAAGAGGCCCCTTGGGAAATGTACTAGACCCTTGTGAGATGCAGACTACTGATTGAAGCTGATGATAGAGCTTCATAGATTGTCATCTTATGCTTAGAAAAGTTAGGAAGCATAGCTCAACTCACAGCTAGATAACAGGGCAGCCAAGACTGTACCCCATTCTGACTCCAATTCTCAAGTCTTTTCTTTGCTACCACATATCTGCCCAGGTCCAATGCCTTGTTCACATTTCCTTCAGAGACTCATTTCATCCACACATTCATTCACTTAGCCATTATTCACCAGGCATCTGTACTAGATGCCCCCCTGGACCATTTCAGACTCCTGCTGTCTAGACAGTCTCATTCAGGAAACACTTGCTTTCTTGAGTTAGGAAGTCAAGGCTTCTGTTAAATCACACAACTATATACACTTAGTGACTAGCTGGTTCTAGCTCTCCTTCATACATTTGACCCATTTTAAATAATATGCATTAATAGCAGGTTCTCTCTCATCGTGCTTTAGAAAAGCCTGGTGGTGGGATCCAGTCTAAAGCCCTGTATTTGATTGTTTTCCTCGTCTTTAATCCCTCTGGTTTGTGAGAAGCCTGGTGGCGGGATCCAGTCTAAAGCCCTGTCCCGGCTCGTGTTCCTACAATACCTCTGGTTTGTGAGTGCTCCTAAACCCAAACACCAAACTCCTGCCATTGATTGAGGCAAGGCCAGCTCATGGAGACCTTATGGAAAGCGTAGAACTGCCCCTGTGAGGTCCTAAGACTGTAACTCTTTATGGGGGTAGAATGTCCCATCTTTCTTCCATGGAGCGGCTCGCCGTTTCAAACTGCTGACCTTATAGTTAGCAGCCCAGTTTGTAACCCCTATGCCACCAGGGCTCCTGGTGTGGGTACTCGTAGGCTTATGGACTGAATCTATTTATTGAACAAGTAGTCTATGAATACCTACTGTGACCCAGGCACAGATCATCATTTCAGATGACACATGTCCTCTAATCTGTGAGCTACTCTGAAAGCACAAGGGTAAGACGCAGTGAAAACATGCCGAGGTAGGAGGATAATGGGCTCTCTGAATTCAAACCTGGCCCTGTCCTTTGACATAAGAGTTCTAGATATTGAAGAATCTAAGAGAGTGATAAGAAATACAGGTAAGTAGGGAAGGCTACAGTACTTTAACAGTCAAGTGGAGCATGAAGGGAGAAATTTGAAAAGATCAGCGTGTTCAGTAAAAAAAAGAATCCAAAGATAAAGACACAGTCAAAGAGAGAGTGAGGGGAGAGAGAATATTTTAGCACAAAATTCAAGACGTCAGAAAGGGCAAGATATGACAAAATAATAATTTCTAAATTATCAAGGGTTCATTAGGGAGCTGGGGAGCAGGGAGGGAGGGAAATAAATGAGGAGCTGATGTCAGGGGTTAAGTGGAGAGCAAATGTTTTGAGAATGACGAGGGCAATGAATGTACAGATGTGCTTTACACAATTGATGCATGCATGGATTGTGATAAGGGTCGTATGAGCCCCTAATGATTTAAATTAATTAATTATTTTAAAAAGGAAGAAAGACTTTGAAAAAACCATATATGACTCATTCAAATAACGGTTGAAGGAAAAGGTAAAAGATTATTTTAAAATTATGTATTTTTAAGTCACGTCAAGTAGGCCAGAAAAAAATCCTTGGGCATCCACCTAACCACACATTTCTTAGAAATGTGGAAGTAGGGGTTGCAATGAAATGAAAGAATGACCAGGGCTTCGGTGTTTAAAAATCAGAAATATGGCATGATAAAACAACTGAAGGAAGAGAAAGGTGAATTGAAGGAGAGGAATCCATCAGCAGCCTGGCTGGCTGTGACCCTGTCTGTTGTTACTGGGACCAAACACAGGCAGATGCCAAGAGAAGGTTGATTTGCCAACAGAATGAGCAATAAGCCTGACAACCAAACCTTCCCTTGAGAGACAGAGGAACCTGTTGTGGGCTGAACTGAATTTCCCAAAAGATAGGCTTAAGTCATTTTCCCTGCTCCCGTGAATGCGGCTCTGTTTAGAAAGGAGGCCTTTGAAGATAGTATCAAGTGAATAAACATCAAGTCAGACTGGGATCACGTGGCTCCCAATGTCCTATGAGTGGTATCCTTAGGAAAGAGGGGAAGAAACACAGAAACACCGAGGGAAGGCGGCCGTGTGTAGACAGAGGCATAGATTTGTATAAGCCAAGGAAGACCAAGAGTGACTGGCCTTCGCCAGAAGCTGGGCAAGGGTCATGAAACAAGAGCAGAAAGAGGGGACACAGCCAGCAGCCCAATGCTGACCTCCTAGCTCCCCGGAGTGTGAGGCAATACACTTGCCTGAGAAACTAACCCAGA